ATTTTCTCACATATAATTTTAGTTTTTTTGGTTATTTTTGATGTTGTTTTGTTAAACACAAGTAGGATTTTATTGCACATATACTCCTACAAATGATTTTCTTCACTATAGTCTAGTTTGCATATGTCCACACCAGTACATATCCCTCTAACCCATTATTTTTACTATCTGCCTGATGTGCCATAGTGTAAAAAGATGTACCATAACCAATTTAACCACTTTGACATTGTTAGACATATCAGGATTTCCAGAGGGTATCACCCAAAAGACATCATTCAGACAGACCACAATGTAAACAGAACTCCCCTAGAGTTGTGCAATGCGTTGACCATGTGGCCCCACATTTAAGGAATTTCTGCTTTTTTTCAATAATATAAATGGTTTTGCAATGAACTTTCCTATCCATCTCTGTGCCAGGATTTCTATAACCTGGACCCAGAACTAGAATTACAGAGAAAAGGATACAGTGACTCTAAAATGACCCTATCATTGCCCTCCCACCAAGGGTGTAGGAGAGAATGAATTTTCTGCCACCTTCAATAAAATGTATGTCACCAATCTGTGTTTCTTGTCAATCTGAAAAGTGAAAGATGATATCTGAGGTGTGGTTGCTAGTGAGCTTAAGAAACTTTTCATGCTTACTGGCCTTTTGAATTTTTTCTTCTATTGATTATTTTACATTATCAATGTATAAAAGCATAAATATTCTCTATCTGCACTGTCTGATACAACAGACACTAGCCACAGGTGGCTATTTCAATTTAAATGAAGTTAAATATTAAGTCCCTCAGCTTCAAGTGTGGATGTTCTCTGATAGAAAGGAGACAGTGGAGAAGAGACTAAAGATAAAAAAAAAAAGAGAGAGAGAGATAATTAGAAACTAGAGAGAAAAAGGAGAAAGTAATATAATCACAGTAAAATACCCATAAACACAGGAAGCTAAAACTGGAAGGAAACTTGAGAATTGTCTCATCTTATAGTTTTATGAGTGTGATGCGCACCAACAGGAGGAGGGGGCAAGGGAAATATACATAGCCTTAACATTTGTACCCCCATAATATGCTGGACAAAATTTAAAAAGGAAAAAAAAAAAGAAAAAAGAAAATAAACCCTGTAATCTACCATATTAACAGAATAAGATGAAAAATGATACAATTACCTTAATTCATGCAGACAAAGCATTTAACAAAATTTTATACTCATTTACAATTTTTAAAAAATCTAAGCAGGCCAGGCGTGGTGGCTCACGCCTGTAATCCTAGCACTCTGGGAGGCCGAGGCAGGCAGATTACTCGAGGTCAGGAGTTCAAAACCAGCCTGAGCAAGAGTGAGACCCCGTCTCTACTATAAATAGAAAGAAATTAATTGGCCAACTAATATATATAGAAAAAATTAGCTGGGCATGGTGCCGCATGCCTGTAGTCCCAGCTATTTGGGAGGCTGAGGCAGGAGGATTGCTTGAGCCCAGGAGTTTGAGGTTGCTGTGAGCTAGGCTGATGCTATGGCACTCACTCTAGCCTGGGCAACAAAGTGAGACTCTGTCTCAAAAAAAAAAAAAAATCTAAGCAGACTGTGAGTAAAGGGAACTCCCCTCAAGCTGATAGAGGGCGTATAAAAAAAACTTGTTATGTACTATTGACATAATTAATGATAAAAGACTGAATGCTTTACCACTCAGATCAGCAACAGGGAAAAAATGTCTGCTTGTATTCAGCATTTTATTGGAGATCCTGCCCAGTGAAGTTAGGCCAGAAAAAGAAATAAAAGACATATATGTTGGAAAACAAACAAACAAACAAACAAAATTCTAATATGTGAAGTCCTGGAATTTGCTTGGTACCATTTTCTGTTGATATGTCCAGAGAAAAATAAAATCTTTAACATCCAAAATACAGACTGGATCAGTGAAAGTCTTTTTGTGACCTCTTTAACGGATTTTACCACTAATATTGTAGCTCTCAACATGATTCTTATTTTTCTATGCCAGGTTCCTGCAGATGAAAACAAAGAAGATAGTTTACATTAAACTGACCAAAGTATAATGACATCTATTCAGATGATATGAAAGTCATGTCTGGGAAAATCACAGAAGTACAACTCACGTTAAAGCTATCATCACAATGTGTTCAAGTAGTGTAATGACTGTTTAATGGTATTGGGTAGTCAAACGCTAGGTGTTAACTTCTCACCAACATGTAAACATCTTTCTAAACAGTGTTGGATCAGGCCAAATAAATAATCCATTGCATTGAGATGCAGCCATAGAACTGCAATTGTTCAGAGTGGTAATTACATAGATGGTATGTTCCAGAATAGCCTTTTTTTACAGAAAGTTTTTTATGATGAACTAAAGGCAAGGTGCTAGTACAAATATTTCAAAGATTTTAAGGGAGAAAAAAAAAAAACTCTGTGTGTCAGTGAAGGAACTCCACTTATTAAGTAGCTAACAAAAATACAACAGCTTTTTAGAATCCTGGTATTTTCATGCTTATAATTGCAAATAAGGTGTCAGCAAGGAAACTAAAACTTGAAATTTCTACTGAATGGAAAACAAAGTCGATTTTTATAGCCTTGAAAAATGACAGAGGTACTGAAGCATCTGAAGTTTTTTTTTAAATGAAATCGCTGAGAATCGTACATTGTTATCAGATATATTTGAAAAGTATTTCCTGACAAAGATATCTCAACCTGCTATATAGGAGCCTGTTTATTAACACTCCCCAAATGAAACAATTACCAACTAATGAATGTGAGCAGCTATTAGATGTTAGTGAGTCTACCATTAGATTAAAATATTCTGTTTCTTTTTCCATCTTCTCTAATTGTTAAAGAAAGAGTAAGCTTAACCATCGAAAAACTATTAACCTTTGTAAAAAACTTCTCTGTGTGAATCAGAATTTTTATGCCACCAAACTAGAACAAATCACTAGAATAATTGGATTAGGACAAATTTTGATCCATAACCCCCAATTTCAAAATTATGGTTATTGACATATAACTTTGAAATATTTTGGTTGATTTTATAATATTAATAAGTATATATTAAATGAATATATATGTAAATATACACAAAAACACAGTTGAACTAAAAAAACTAACACTGCTTTTTCTCCTTATATATGGGTTCCTCATGTCATTTTGCTTGAAAAGAAATATTGCTAGAAATGAAACAAAGCTGACTGATCCAACTCTTTTATTTTACAGAACAGGGACTTCACGCAGGGAGACCACTGTTTAGAGCATTCATTAGGTTCTGAGAGATTTGGGGGCTAAATCTTGACTCTGTCACTTATTTTCTGTGTGTCACTGGCTAGATTTCTTAATTTCTCAGTTTCAGTTTTGTCATTTGTATGATGAAGATAATAATAGCACCTAACTCAAGGGTTGTTATTATAGTTAAATGAGATACGATGAATTCTCTTTAAAGAGAAAAAAAAAACTAAAACACATTGAAAATTGCCCCGCATGGGAAAGTGAGCCAGTATCCCCAGAAGCTGACAGCAGAGTCCAGACACGCAGTCAGTGGTCCTAATTCTGGCGTTCTCCTCATTAGCCTAGTCTATGTCAACCCCAGTGGGAAAGTTCACTTTAGGGTGAAGATACACGGCTTCTTCTTCTGAAAGGAGAAGGGAAAGGAGTCCAGTGTGAGTAAAGGAAGACAAAATCTGAGATGGAATGATGGCTGGAAATCCTTTTTAAAAGTAAATGTTAGGTTTACCTGTTGAAATTTTGAGCATTAGAGAGGCATGGGAAAAGGCAGAAACAGACTTTTGTAGGCACAGAATCAATTAAGTATGAGAATAATAAAATTTACTGAGCTGAAGCTTTGGCTAAGATTAGTAACTGGAAAAATATGAAACTTTCAATTTCAGTAGAACTGCTACAGGTTCAAGTTTTGCTGTGTAGGAGATGAGTAGCCTTTGGCAAATCTTTAATCTCTACATGCCCTCCTTGCGAGGTTACTGTCTGGATTACATTGAATGCAGTAGATAAAGTTCTAGGATGGTCGCTGAGGTGCCTAGGCCAAAAGGCAGACATATGACCCAGGTCCTCCTAGAAGATAAGCTCCTTGAGGACAGAAACAGTGGCATAGTTATGTTTGCTGAGTGTTGAATGCACCCTGAATTCTTGTTTCTTGTACTCTTTGATCTGAATATTTGACCTTCCGCTCTGCTAGTGGCGACCCACCTTATAAAGACTTACTGCTTTGCCCCTTGGTCTCTATTACTATTAGGAGCCCCTGCTTCCTGGGGATAAAGTGAGAATGACAACTACTTTGTACAGGTATTATGGGGATAGAAGTAATGCAGGTACATAGTCAAAAATTCAAGTTTCAATATCTTATTTTCTAAGCGTCTTCCCCTGTGAAATGGGACAACAGTGCAGTTTTTCTGAAGTCTAAATGGAATTCTTAAAACATGAAAAGATTTTTCAAATTATAAAGTGCTAAACATGATTAGTAGAGAACAATTTGTGTATCTTTAATAAAAGACAAAACAGAAACATTAAATGCTAGAACTTGAAGCTGTTTCAGTAAGGTCTCAATCTGAAGGATATTCTTCCTACTAATTTTTTGGTCAAATGAGATTTTCCTGCCTACACTCTGGAAGTCGTTCCCTCTACCCTTTTTAGGAAAGTTTTTCTATTAATCAATGAATTGTAGCATCTATAAGATTAAGCTGTAGCTAGTGACGTTCGCACTTAATAAATAAACACTAAAAAAAAAAATTTTGGCTAGGGAGCTCCATTTTCTAAGGATGCAATGGAGGAAATTCCTCTGCTCGGTGGCAGATAGGACTAAAGTGATAGGAATGTTGAATTGGAAAGGATTTATAGTCTAGCTCCCACCCACAGCAATGCACTCAAATGGATATTTATCTACTTTTTGCACAAGCACCTATATTAACGGGAGAAACATGACCACATCAGGCGGCTCATTCAATTTTCAGAGCACCTTCATTTTTAGAAAGATATTTACATTGAGCAAAAATCTACCTCTCCTTAGCCTGCATGCTCTCCTCTGGAGCCATCAAAGCCAATCTCGTCCATCTTCGATGCGAGGCTGTCAAATATTTAGAGATCGCGATCAAGCCTTTCATCATTTAAGCGTGTCGTTTGCCATCACTCGAGGCCGCTGGAGGAAAAGGTGGTCGGCAGGTTTAAGGAGAAATTCAGGCGGGGTTTTGCAAATCCTCTTAACCATAGCCTGTCTCTTGGTTGGCCATATCAAGCCCAAAGGAAGCCACAGGATGTCAACAAACCACCCAAATCTGCTCCTTCTCTTAAAATTCTCTTGATCTTACTCATACTTGGGAATCTTTCTCATTTCTTATGGCTGGTCTTTTGTGGGGAAAAGCCTCGTATATATTGAATAGCTGCAGAGATTATGATTCCATCTCATTTTTTCCATCTCGGGCACAAGTATCTTTTTGTCAACCTTTCAGTATCCAAGAGGTTGACAAAAAGACATTTCTCTAATCCCCCGTCATCCCTCATATTCTCACTGTATGATGTTTTTTCTTCCTAATAAGCCATTTGTGAAACTGGCATGGAACACACACGGAGCCAGGAGGGCCTCAGGCAGGAAGAAAATCACAACAGGATGGTGGGACACCTCAACTTGCACGCCCCTTGATGACTGGAAGGCTAAAGCTAGATTCTGTAGTGAACCACAATCCTGTTGTCTAATCCCAGGTACTCCTAACTGCTACAAGTGAGTGGACTCTGGTTTCCTGCTACTTCCAAGCCAGTGCATATATTCTTATATTTTGTTATCTTACTCCTAATTGCCCAGGTATGAAATATAGGTCATGGATCTCTACAAGCCTAGCCCCAGATGCTCAGCTAGACGTTTGTTGAGTTTCTAGGAATTCCTCATTGGTACCTGTAAACTGGTAGCAATCACACATTTCATGCTAATGGAGTTTCATTCAGTGTTTTTTTTTTCTTTAATTTTTATTTCAGAGAATTACGGGAGTACAAATGCTTTGGTTGCATAAATTGCCTTTGCACTGCCTGAGAAGCATGTCCATCCCCCAGATAGCACACACCGCATCCCTTAGGTGTGGATTTACCCATCCCCTCCTCCCCATCCCACCTGCCTGGTACCCTGTGAATGTTACTTCCCATATGTACATTTAGTGTTGATCAATTAGTACCAATTTAATGGTGAATACACATGGTGTTTGTTTTTCCATTCTTGTGATACTTCACTAGGAAGGATGGTTTCTAACTCCATCCAGGATAATACAAGAGGTATTATTTCACCAATTTTTTATGGCTCAGTAGTACTCCATGGTGTACATATACCACATTTTATTAATCCACTCATGTATTGATGGGCACTTGGGTTGTTTCCACGTCTTTGCAATTGTGAATTGTGCTGCTATAAACATCCTAGTGCAGGTGTCTTTGTAATAGAACTTCTTTTTGGGTAAATATCCAGTAGTGAGATTGCTGGATCAAATGGTAGTTCCACTTTTAGTTCTTTGAGGTATCTCCATACACATCATGGAGATCCTTATAACACTTCCATGATGTATGCAGAACAGGTATTATTAATAATTATCACTTGAAGGAGTACAGGGTCTGAAAGATTATGTTTTTCTGTCTGATTTGTAAGTGGTAGCGCTAAGACTCCCATGGAGGTCTTTAGACCCAAAGTCTTAGTTTATTTACATCATAATGTACTGCTGGTACTATTTATTCCTAAAAAGAAACAAACAAAATAACCCATTGTGGAAATTCAATGTGTTGTATACTTCCACTTTGACTTTAACTCATATTTATTCATTCAATATTTTTTAAATATGTACCAAATTTTATATGTAAAATATGTACATTTACATATGTACCTTGTACCAAAGTGCCAGGCATTGAGAATTCAAACTTGAGTAAGATACAGTTCTTGCTTTTGAAGCATTTACTCTGTAGTGCAGGAAACAGGGACACAAATCAGGAATTTCAACCTGATTTTTTACAAAATCTGGTATAAAAATAACAGCATTTATAACAATAATGGTTAATATTTATTGAGCATTTACTATGTGCCAGGCTACTATTTAAATACTTTACAAATATGATAAAAGTATACATACAGTATATTAAGATTTAAATTTTCTTATGAATACTTACTACCTGCCCAACTGGTTTGCAAACTCACTGCGAATAAGAGCCTTCCTCCTCAGTGTTTTGCTTACCTTGTGTATATCCTCAGTTAAATCAAAATGAACCGGTTTGTGGTAGCAACCTGGGAATTGTTAATAAACTAAACTGGGATGCAACCAAAGAATTTCCTACTTGTTTTAATGACAACTGTTGCCAAGGGACACTTTTATTATTAGAAACCATTTTGTCTGGGTTGAGTGGGGATCATGAAAGGACAAATTGTAACGGCATTTAAACTGAATGATAGCTTTAAATACGTTTTAAAAAGGTCAAAAAGTGTTAGGATATAAAACATAATGTTTCACAGATCAAAAATATATATGGAGAATTAACCTTACAAGAGAAGGAGTAAAAGATGAAAGCAAAGGATTGGGTATGCACCAGTCTTAGCCAGGTTATACTGCCGTGATGAACAAAAATCTCAGTGGCCCAAAAGAGTTGTTCTCAACCAGGAGCAATTTTCCCCACAGGGAACATTTGGCAAGGTCTGAAGGCAGTTTGGGTTGTCAGAACCAGGGGAAGGAGGTGTTACTGGCAACAAGTGAATAAATGCCAGGGTTACTGCTCAAAACCTTATGCGCAAGAGAGCTCCCCGACACAGCTCCACCCCCAAGGAAGAATTATCCATCCCCAAAGGTGACTAGCTGGATTGAGGTCAAGAAACTCTGGATTTAAATAACCAAGGGTTATTACTCACTCACAAGACGTGTCCATTGTGGATCAGCTTGGAGTTTTGCTCTAGTGTCATCCTCCTCCTCAAGACTCAGGCTAACATAGTAACATGGCTGAGCAAAGAGCGAGCTTTTATCTCACAGTGACAACTGAATGATCCAATTCTGAAATGTCATACGTCACCTCCACTCAAATCCATTGGCTAAAACTACTCCTACGGCCCCACCCAAGCAAAAAAGTACTAGGGAGTGCAATTCTACCATGTGCCTTAACAGTGCAGAATTGGTATGTATGATAAATAACACAAATGAATAGTTTTGGGTATGCAGGCAAAGAATAATAATAATATTGGGTAGAATTATTTCTATTCTAATGATATTCCAAAGTTTTGAACTCAGTGCAGTTTCTACTTTCAAAATAACATCACATAGAAGAAAATATATCCACAACCAATGTGGCTCAGGGATTGTTCATCTTGAAATGGTTATAAAGAATGCCTATCTCACAGTTATTAACATGTGAAAGTGATCAGCACGGCGCTTAATTTCTGAGAAATACTCTTTAAGTCATCATCCCTCCTCTTTTCTTTGGAGAGTAGTTTTAATAGCAATAGCATAGCTAAAGAACAAGCCTGTCAAAAATGGTCTACTTCTTTCCATTACATAATAGAGGAAAACACAAGTTTACACATAACATATGATACCTGTGTCTTTTGCTTTTTCTTGAACAGGATTGCACCAATTACTTTATCAATTCCGTAACTCCACTATCTCTCTTCTCCTCTCCTTCCTCCAAACTATTGTTAGATGGGGCTTTCAACATTTCAAATTAGTCCACGTGGTTTCCTTAATTAAAAATTTGCAAAAGTTTCTCATGACCCTCAGTGTAAACCCTAACTCCTCACCTTTGTGATTTAGTTTCTGCTTACGTCGCCATCCTCATCTTTCTCCCTGTGGCCCAATTACATACATTCTTCCAAACACAATGTTGATCTCCCAAGGTTTCTTGCAAGCTTGCCTTCGTGCAAGCTGACATCCTCTACCCACTGTCCTGGAAAACCATCCTTTGCCCTTAAAAACTCTCAGCCATCAGTCTCCTCGGGAACACTTTCCAGGTGTCATCTCACCCCTATATTCCTTGCTATGATAGTATTTATTACATTACTTGACTGTTTATGTAGTTGACTATTTATGTAAACGGCATCTATCGAGGGCCACATTTCATGTCCATATCCACAGAGTCTAGCACAGGGCCTAACATAGAATAGGATCTCAGCAAATGTTTTCTGAGTGAATCATTAAAATATAAATTTCATTTTGCTATGTCTTCATAAGGATTATTGTAATAACTGCATATTATTTAGTCAAATGAATACCCAACTTTAAAATAATTAAAATAAGACATCATTTTCCTTTAATAAATTGGGGAAAATATTCATACAAAGAAGAAAAATGTCAAATATATAGATATTTCCTATAGCATTATATAATAACAAAATTATTGCCTCCTTTATCAGAAGCACCTCTTAGGGGCCAGGTGACTCATGCCTGTAATCCCAACAGTTTGAGAGGTCCAGGCGGGAGGATTGCTTGAGGCCAAGAGTTTGAGATCAACCTGGACAATGTAGTGAGACCCCATCTCTAAAAAAAATAAATAACTGGACGTGGTGGTATACACCTGTGGTCCCAGCTACTTGGGAGGCTAAGGTGGGAGGATCCCGTGAGCCCAGAAATTAGAGGCTGCAGTGAGCTATGATGAGGTCACTGTACTCCATCCAGGGTGACAGAGTGAGACTCTGTCTTGAAAAAAAAAAAGTAGTTCTTAGGTAGGAAGGGACTGAACTTAGATATGAATGACTGAATAAAGTTAAATAAATAGGAAAGAGAAGGTTTTTACCTTTTTTTCATCAGAGTAGTTTCTAACTCTTTCACCACAAAATTTGACTTTTATTATTATTTATCCTAGGATGATCAGACCTGGACTTAAATCCAAGGTTTGCCCCCATTACTACCTTTGAAGACTATTTAAGGAACAAGCATCTTTAAGCAGACCACCATTGGTTTAGTCCAAATCTGTCATTTTACACAATCCTTTAAGATGGGTCCTGCTATACTCCCATTTTACAGATGATAAAATGAAGACCTCAAAAGCCTAAATAAAACCAGCTTGTACACCAGATCAGTCAGCCTGATTTAGTGACCACACTCACAAGCCTTATACTACAATATGTTCTATAACAAAACATACATATTTTAATGGTTTGAAAAGCTTTATTTCCCAAAAGAAGGGCTCTTATAAAACGGGTTTGAAAATATTTGAAAGGTAGAAGAGTGTCAGTGGACATTTGTCTATTATTTTGTTCACCTTCCATCTGAGCTCTCATCTTTTCTTGAGAATTCTTTATCTTAAAAAATTTGGCGGGAAACAAAGATTGCCTTCCATTATGGTGAAAAAAATTCCGTTTCTTTTTAGGGAAGATGGAACAAGAAGGTTCACCTTGGGAAAATTCTCTGTATGATTTTCCAGGGATTTAAGTGTTCTTATTTTTATATACAGAAAGAAAAAGTTATAAGTCAACTGAGGTCATTTCTTTACAACAATGACTCATATGCCATCCAAACTATAAGTTATTAAGTTGAAATCTAAGAAGAAGTGGCCTGTTTGTCGGCTCTACCTGAAGAACAACTTCCTTTCAATAGCAGCCATCCTTGTGTACTTATTATTGAAGTGAATTCACTCTAAGGACTTAGCCTCCTTCTGAAAGAAAGATTCAGGAAGGCTTGTTATTTAAAGATGATAATGGCTTGAATAAGGAGGTAAGATAACTCTTATATAACTCTTGCATGTAGCTGCTAGTAACCACCTGATCCTGGGGAAGAAGAAAGCAAAAGAATAATAACGATAACTTTAGCTATCAATGTTTCAGTGTCTTTTCCCTGTTCTCAAATTGGAGGAAGGACATACTGTCTGGTGCCTGTAGCAGTGAATCAGTAGACAAAGCATGACACAACTTCCTGGAGGGACCACTTGACTCATCGATGATTATTTTGGACAGTGTGTTTTATTTCAAACAACTATTTTAAAAGGTATATTATGGAAGAGAATAAAAAATTTGCATGATTTTTCCAGTTTGACTTATTCAACAAATATTTACTGAGCATTGTGCAAAGTGTTGGTGTTCCAGCGATAGGCAGAAATCAAAATGATCCCTGAACTCAGTCAATTTAGCACCTAATGAGGGAGGCTGATGAGTTATTGGCAAAAGCTGGGTTAAGGGCTTTTGAAGGAAAACGACGCAGTCCCTAACCCTAGCACAGGGGCCAGCGAAGCGTGAGCTGAGGTCAGAGGGATGAGAAGGAGCTGAGTAGGCTCGAGAGTGGTGGTGGTTGGCAGAGGTACAGGATGCAGGAGCATGAGCTGAGGATTTGACGTGGGCGGGGATTAGGAAGAAGACCAATGAGGCTGAAGCTCACAGGATAAGGGAGGAGGTGGTGGGCCAGGCTGGAGAGACTGCTGGGGCCAGACAGTATGTGGATGTAGGAGCACATTAGGCTTCATAGAAAACAACAAAAGTGAGTGCCAGCTCCAGACCACTTTGCAGGTAGCTCTCTGGTCATTCCAGAGGAACGGGTACCTGATGCCCCTGATATTGGGGGTATGTGGATGGAAAGTGTGAAACATTAGTTCATTCCATATCTCACAAGGTCAATTGGACTGCCTCTAATTTGCAGATGAGAGACTGAGGCTCAGAGACATGAACAAGATAGAATAATTTGGAATGAACAGAGGTGGATTTCAATCTTGGTCTGTTGGACTCATCTCAGTGGGGAGACTTTAGAAGCTATATAACTTTGTCTCCTCCACAATCTTGCCTGTGATCAGTCAGGGCTAGGTATATTTATTCTATGGGCAATAGTTTCCATTTTTATTGCTTTTTAAAATTGACTTCAGCATGATTTCTTTGAGGCCTAGGCCTTTTGTGGATCTCCAATTCAAGGCCAAAGCAAATTTGCACGGTTGGCTTAAAATGATCCTCTTCTTGTCACCCCATTAGTCATAGGTACATTCCACGCTCAAATGCAGACAACTTTCCCTTTGCCCATCTGAGATGTGAATCACTGGTCCATGCCAATCACATTTTGCATA